ATATATATATTTATATTTATATTTATATTTATATTTATATATATATATCCATCGGCAACTGTTCCATTTTTTTTCGAGCATTGGAGTGTAGAAGAACAAAAGGAAAAAGAATCCAACAAACGCCTGAGTGATTTTGACTAGTTTTGAGTTGCAGACTCAGTGAACACTGCAACGAAAAATGAACTGATTGGAATTACTATATGTTAAAAGTATCAACAGTCGGCGTTTTCCAGCTAGCCTTTCACGACAAGTTAGTATCGAATGTGAACCATTTCAAATATTCTGCCAAGGAAAGTTGTATGATCTCATGTAATAAAGTCTCATTTCAGCATTCTAATGTTATAACATGCGAATAATGTAAATTTACCATTTCTATCGTAAGGAGACAAGTTCGGTTCGACTCAGTATCGATATTTCTCAATAGTTGAACGGGTACCGCTTAGTGATGGTCGTTAAAAACGGGTGCTGTCCGTAGTTACTCGAAAAGCACCTTGCTGAAGCGTTCATGTGTAACTAAAAAATGTGCATCCTGAAGCATCATTGTATGTTCACATTCGAGAGCACATCAGAGCTCTGCGGAGACCTAATGTCCTCTACCACTTCAACTGCTCCCTACGATAATGTGATAGGGAGGAATGGAAATGATTGGGGAGATGAGATTTTATTACGTGGGGCCAGAATGTTGTAAAACTCTCATTGGCAGAACATTTGCAATGATTCGCATTTTATAAAGGCATATATCAACTTGCCGTGAAAGTCTAGCTGCGAAACTGTGATTTGATATAATGATATTAGACAAACATATCTCGATGGCATATCAGTCGTTGAGGTTGCAATGCTGACCGCTTTCAGTATCACGTTTAGAAGGCGACAATTGGAAGTCACGTATACTTATGTAATAGTTCTAGCAATAAATAACCATCACATAAGTGATGGTTATTTATTGCTAGAACTATTACATAAGTATACGTGACTTTCTTCCTTCCTTTTCTAATGATAGCTTAAAATGCCGAGAGGTTGGAGAGGTTCAGGAGAGTAAGAAAAGAAGAAGAATTTAGAACGTGAAAGAAAATAGTTCAGAAGAGGAATTGCAGTAGTATGGGGTTCTTCAAGAAATTTGTCATAAGTAATAGTAATAATGGATATTTTTACAGGTGAATTAAAAAGGCTGACATTGAATTCGGATTTGATTTTAAATATTGATTCAAACTATTAACGAAATCTAAAAATTGAAGTGCTGATAAGTTGATCATGTCAGACTCATCATTTTTCTTTAATATGCCCAGTCTTATCTTATCGATTCTGATTTCATTTAATAAGAGTTCGATAATTACCTGTTCCGTATTATGGTTTATCAGTTCTTACAAATAATTGACGGAATCGAGGTTATATGTAGACAGGGAACTGCATCTCGATGACGAAGGTTTTTTCCACATGTGCTATTCTCTGCATTGTGATCCGAATGGAATTGTGAACAACAGTGGGATGATATATGTATATGATCATTTAATAATGGTGCTATCGTAGATGTCATATATCTAATGCTTACTTAAGCATCATTTTTTGTTGAAAATAAATGTGAGACAAGCTGTATCAATCAGTGGTGATGTGGTGTTATAGATTTAGTTGAGTTTGAAGTGCAAATATTGTAAATTGTTAGGGATTCAAATATGAACGTAAACTTGATTCAGTCTGCTGAAGGTTACGCTTTCTGATTTGTTTGGATTGTTGTTGGTTTTTATTGCTTCGTTGATTGATTGATCGATTCGCCCAGCAGTAGTTACTAAGTACCGACGAACGGCTGTTTCACCTCCTTTTTTCGCTTTCATATTATATTCGCTCGTTGCATTGCTCCGCCCTACGGGTTTGGGCTAAGTTCATAATCTCATTCAATCGTCTACATTATCTTGCAAAATTCTCACGAAGGAGGCGGTAAGATAGTCAGTCGTGTGTTTAGTTGGATGCTTGTTTGCGTTTGGTACCGCATGGCAATCGATTGTGGTTGCTCGCTGATCAATATTTTCAAAAAGTTGTTCTCTAAAACTTGTAGGCGGCCTTGACGGCCAAATGCTAAGCTATTGCTCTGTAAAACTAGCTATAAAGTTTGTAGAGATAAGCTGCACCAATCAGTTGAACGTGCATATCGCTGTTTTTTGTTCTTGTTTCTTCATTCTCTTATTTGAATTGATAACGTTTGGTGTATGGCAAAATGTAACAGTATAAAGCGGTTAAGAGCAGAAAGTATATCATATCTAATGAAATGATAAGAGTGGTCAAATTTTTTTGATATGATCGATAACACAGCTATTGTAACCGATAGTGTAACTCATTTGATTGTACTTTAGTGAGTACTTTTTGGAATTATTTGATAAGCTGTTGAATTAAATGTCTTCTTTGGGATGTGCATGTGAACATTCATGTGTTAGTGGATGTACGTATTAATGTGCTGACATATTTAATGATGCATTTTTTAAATGATTAATTACGTGGTAATTCCATCATAATCCTCTGAATGATGAACGTCTTTTTACTGAATCTCTGCTAGTTTACATCATTTTCATCTTTTGTCTTACGTAATTTTGCTGTAGCCAACTTTCCTCTACTGTTTTTTTTCTGTTCCATCGTATGAAGAGTTTGATTCATTTCAGTAGCTGTGAAATCGTAGCAATTAATCAACTCTGAGATTTTATATTGGTCTGTGTTTGTTTTATATGCAAGGCTAAGGAGATTGATGTCTATGTATCAGTGATGAGCGACAAAAACTTCGAACCTAAAGAGCTGTTGAACTCATTTGTTGAGTTCCCATTAGCATTATGACATCTTTCATCGTTTAAAGTATTTTCCCTCTGTTGAAAGGCTCACTCAGTTTGTGAATATTTTTAATATCGTTCGTCGTGAACTCAGTTTATTTAAGCGATTCAATTATTTCAATGTTTTTGTTTCAGTAATCACCACATCCGGCTAACGCTTCATTCGATCTTATTGTAAAGATGATAAACATTGTCTCAAACATCTTCAAGGTTTCTTGTAATGCAATTTTTTTTTTGTTTATTTATTCGTGACGATTTGCTTTCATATTTCAGTTCATGCTCTCATGGAGAACGTAGCAATTGTCACTCGATGTCATTTTGATTTGCTTGCGTCAATCGATTAAATTGACGAATTTTTCTCAAAATCATTTTGTGACGATTCATCGAGAATCGATTGGCTGCCTTATCATTGCGTTTTACTTCAAGGGACCGACAGTTGGTTCGTCGATAGTAGCGATTTCAGCGAGATTGGCTAGCACAGAGGCAACATTTCAAACGAAACCATACAAACTGCATAAACTCGACTCCGGACCAGATGTGAACGTTTCTGTGACGAAGGATGACGCCATTCAGTTCTACACTCAAATGCAGGTATGGCGTTGATCATTCATTTTATCTATTCTTGTTTCCTTTCTTTTCTTCCTTCTCAAAATGCTGTAATCAGTCATTCATTTTAGACTATCCGACGAATGGAGACAGCAGCCGGAAATCTGTATAAGGAGAAGAAAGTTCGAGGATTTTGTCATTTATATTCGGGTCAGGTGAGTGAGAAGATATCTGATGTTTACATGCCAATTGTGATATAAGTATCGAAAATTTTCAATCACAGATCAAGTCTCGAAATGTTTTTCGTTAAGGAAGCGTGTGCGGTTGGTATGAAAGCAGCAATGGGACCTGAAGATGCAGCAATTACAGCATATCGATGCCACGGCTGGACATATTTAAGTGGTTCGAGTGTTGCACAGGTTCTTTGCGAACTTACAGGTAAAACGATTATCTCGAAAGTAATTCGACTATAAACTTCAGCTATAGTTAAGTCTCCATTACGACCCCATTCCAAGATTTTCATCGTAAATCGAGGTTCCACTTCATTTCTTTAAAAGTTGCTGCTTTTCTTCCAGTTGTCATCACGAATAGAATTTGAAAGTAGAATGAATGAACATGATTGAGGTCGAATCTCGGGTAATGTTCATGGCAAAGGTGGTTCAATGCATATGTACGGTCATAACTTCTTTGGTGGCAATGGTATTGTTGGTGCACAACAACCACTCGGTACTGGCGTTGCGTTCGCGATGAAATACAGAAAACAAAAGACTGTTTGCATAACGCTGTTCGGCGATGGCGCCACAAATCAAGGGCAGTTGTTCGAATCAATGAATATGGCTAAATTATGGAACTTACCTGTACTGTACGTTTGTGAAAATAATGGTTATGGTATGGGTACATCAGCTGCGAGATCATCTGCGAGCACTGATTATTATACACGAGGAGATTACGTTCCCGGATTTTGGGTTAGTGCTTCATTTATTATATTCTTCATGTTGTGATGAAGTGAGCCATGAATATGTGTAAATGCATGAATTTAGGTTGATGGAATGGACGTTCTAGCTGTACGCCAGTCAATCCTATGGGCAAAAGAGTGGTGTAACGCAGATAAAGGACCGTTGATGATTGAGATGGCAACATACAGATATGGTGGTCATTCGATGTCTGATCCTGGAACGAGGTTCTTTTTGTGTTGTTTAGATTGCAGATTAATCTTTCAATTGTTGCTTCTCCATAGTCATCGCACCGTGACTTGCTCGCGCCTATCAAAATACTTTCATTTATTGTATTCCACGTTAATTTCTTTTTGACGACGGATTGTTTACTTGTGACGCGGTATGCTAAATTTTTTGTAACTCCGAAACGGTTTTAGAGTGATGCAATTTTGTGGCAGCACTTCTATTTATACATTCAGCTGAATTATTTCTGAATTCATGTCGTATTTTTTCAGTTATCGTACACGTGAGGAGATTCAGGAAGTTCGTAAAACAAGAGATCCTATTACTGGATTCAAGGATAAAATTGTTACTGCAGGACTTGTCACTGAAGATGAACTCAAAACGATCGACAAAGAAGTTCGTAAAGAGGTTCGTTTTGTCAATGTTTTCGATATCGCCATTTTGTTTCTCGCCTTCTGATTACTTCTAGATGTCGCTATCAGATATGATGAATTAACAACTAGATATTATTATAATCATAGTTGTCATTCACTTACTACTGATGTTTATGCTGATGGAACTTTAGGTAGACGAAGCTGTGAAACTCGCACATTCGGATAAGGAGACTCCGACTGATTTTCTGTTGACGGATATCTATTATAATACACCAGCACAAACTGTACGTTGCACGACAGATGAAGTACTTCAAACTCATTTGACATCTGAAGAGGCGTGTAAAGCTGTTGCAAAATGAGTGTGAAATAAATATTCAGTTGTGATGAAAATAATTATAACTGTAGTAATAATAATAATAATAATATCTTACTGAATCAATCCATAAATCAAATAATGTGTTTGTTTCAGGTTAATGACAATAAGAAATAGTTTAGTGTTACTGTTATTATTCTATCAAAATTCTTTTCATTTGAGTTAAATGAGTGTTTGCATCAAAACAGGAATCAGTTGATTAGCGGAATATTTCGAAAATAAATCGAAAATTAAATAATATTCGACAGAAATGGGCAGCTGAGTGGCTGATGGTCAGAGCAAGGTTTTATTTATGCCTTTTGAAAGAATGCTGCGTAGAATAATTATTCTTGGTTGTGTAGATGGGGTAGGAGATGGTGAAGGGGAGAGTGAATCGATAGAAAGATGGTCGGGGGGGGGGATACTTTTTTTGGATTGTAGGTGGTAATAAATGGAGGAAGTGTACAAGAGAAGAAAGTTACATCGAATTCAATTTACTTCACTTTTTCAATGTAGCTACCTGTTCGTGACTGAGAATTATTTCCGGTTGAATCATCTGTTCTGTTTATTTTATAAAATATTTTCGTAATGGTGTCAGATTCTGTCAATTGGAGGATAAATGTTGTTCAGTTCAATAAAATTTCTCGTCAACCAATTCACCGTCTTAATATTGCTAGTTTTTGTTTGTTTTCTGATTCTACGATTGCTCGTTCATTTTAATGGAGTACATCAAATGCAATATCAGTTGGTTCGTTAGTAATATTCATCATCATAATTGCTTCATGTTAGTAATAGTGAATGTGCTATTTTACAACCAATTTCAAAGGCTTTGTTTATGTGTTTGCTTTTCGAAATCGAATGATAACCATGCAATTACCCGTCGTTTGCGTTCACTTCACATTTTTTGTATTCAGTTTTTCAGATTCGTTTTTGAAGATTTTTTTGTTCCACAAAAGGTGTCAGTTAGTCATCGTATGAAACTTTCGTGAAAGAAAATCATGTTTGTTATAGTTTCTCTTTTTTTCTGAATATTCAAAATATTCCAGCAATTGTACAGTTGTTCAAACAACAGTGGTCCTAGAACCGTTCAAATGCTTGTTTCTTAGAACTGCTATTCATTATTACTGTCATTACTATTATTTTATGATCTTCATTTTGTCCTTTCTGACTGCATCCACCGTGTGATTTTTATTTCCAACAGTTACAAAAGTGTTTATGTCCGGTTGCATTACGAAAGTGATTGGTTGTATTTTTCTTTGTGCTTCGTAGAGTTCTTTTTAAACGAGCGATCAATTCAATAAACATCAGTTGTCGTTTGATGATACTAACGGACATTGTTTCAGATGGAATTTTGCATAATTGAAAGTGGAAATTGTGGAAATCTCAATCGAGTTACGAGAACTTCGTTAAATTGCATAATTTTATAAGTTTGAAAAATATTCAGAGCAAGTAAAACTCGTTTGCCACTATCTCATCGTAGTAGTGCTTGAAAGGCGCTAATAGATAATTTTAATGGGTTTGTTCAAAGTTTGTTCAGTAAAAAAATTCTGCATGATTTTACTAACAAGTTCTTGCAAACTTTTTATTGTTTTCAGTTTCAGTGAACCAAAGCACTCGGTGTAAAGGGGCATGAAAACATTTGAATTACAAAGCACCGCATAATTCAATCGCCTCTCTCCTGTCATACGATTTTACGCTTTGTTTTTGTACGTATTCCTCATCGTTTATTTATTCAACCAGCAATTCTTCCAGAGCTTCTCATCCACAATTCTCTTTCCATCCACAAATGTTTCCTTCTCCAGAGGATGTTAAGATTTTAACCTTCCGCAACAATTTACAACTGTATTTGATTCCCGAAATAAGTGGTCATCTTATTGATCAATACCGAACACTGTGCAAGGGATGAAATCATTGCAAATTTATGAGAACAACCTCAATAATTAATCCGAAATCCAGACTTAACTCCTTCATTATTCGTCAAAGATTTAGAAGTCTTAATCGGTCCAAGTCTGAAATTCTATAATCACACTTTAAGTAAACCTAAAGAAGCCAATATCAGTGCATCTGTCATCATAAGACTTTTCACCTCCAATATTCTATCCCTACTAACTAAACTGCTCTATACTTTTCCGTTAAATATGCTTCTTCCATCTGGCCCCCTTTTGCTTTATGCTGTGGCTAGCATTACGGTAATTAAATGGAAGAAACATCCAGAGAGCACGTACTCGTTTAGTTTTTGAAGGACAATGCGAAAGACTCAGCAATACACATGAATATCATGAAAGTCTATGATTCGAGACTTTTGAACTGCAACGATTTTATATTGCTCTTTTTATGTTCTCCGATAGCATTATCATTCACCAACGACGTTTACCCCAGATATGGGAATTTTTCGAATTCTCTTCAAGCAGTGAACAAACTCAAAAAAAGGCACTCTCAAACAGAATGGCACTCTAGCAGCCTATATGTGCAATGCATGTGATGTTCCTCAATTATATGTGATGTTCCTCAGAACAAGCTATGTGTGCGATCTTTCCATGAAATGCTCCTCAATTCAATGTTACTTATTTCACTTACACTTTGCCAAATCGCTAACAGCGTTTTGCATTAACAAATTTTCAAAATGCCTTCTCACATTGATATTGTACTTGGACTTATACTACATTTGAATTCACTCAAACCTATCGTCACAAAACTGCAATAGTTGCTGTCATGACGATCGACAAACCCTGACAACTCGTTGATCCCTTCAGGCGATTTTGGTGTAATGTGTGGCAACACGCGGAAAAATATTTATGCAGCTGTCACGCCACGCACCATTGTTACTCTCAAATTTATCCAAATCTCAACAAAGTTATGAGCTCACGTCCAGGCGAGAGCTTCGAACGTGAGCCTTCCCTATCATGTGACGTCGAATTGCACCCAGGTAGTTTGTGCGGAGTTCTCTACGCATTTTGCGATTCCGTCTCAACCATGGAAGGCCACTAAATTATGCCTAGCAATACTTCCCTCATTATGCCTGGCGCGACAGCATAAAAAACGTGGTAATGAACGACGAGAGGATGAACAAAGTGATGAAGGCACGAAAACACGAAATAATCACAACAACAACACAAAATGATAACGTAAACAACAACAGCAACAGAAAAAGCAAACAGATATTCACATAAACACGAGATTTCAATGGCTACATCCAGTCGGACAATCCAAAACAAAATGACACGAACACATACTGAATGATTATGTCAAAAATGAAACAGAATCAAGCCAGCTGCAGTCATTTTGGCTCAACTCAAAACAAGTTTGAAGTCAAGCCAAGCTATTGATAACTCAAGCTTGACTCAGGCCTTGTCTCCGTCCACACAAGGTATGAGAGCAATCCGAGGAATGCTACCTGCCTTTCTATTCCGTAGCTTATCATCTGTGTGCTCGAATTATGAACTATGAGAAAATTTCACAATATTACCCCAAAAATGCTACCTCAAAAACATCTTATTGAGGACGCACACATCAGCTCATTACAAGCCTGAGAAGATCTTGTGCTAGCGGTCACGAGAACATCCTAACTTCTATGCGCAGCATAAACCGCAGTCATCCAGTTCAACCCTGGCCCGGGATATAAGCTCTCGAAAGTGGTCAACTATTAAGAACAGAGGCGATTACTCCAAAAATTTGATGGCATTTAAATATCTCCGCGTTACCAAACTGATGAACCTACAATGCTTCACATCTCATTTGAATGGAATTCTAAAACTTATCAAGTACCTTATTAGCACTAAGGACGTATAATAGCTGCACTGGCATGGGAAATAAGGAATGCATCATAGAAGTGTATGAACGCCATCATGACACTAGCTAATAGATAAGCTTCGGCGAGTAACCACAAACACCTGAGAGATTTCTCCTCATAGCACATTTGATAACATTGGATCTTTATTCCAGCTGTTATCAAACAGCACTACAAGAAAGAAGTTCTTCGAGTCACCAGTCAGCAACTCGACTCTACAAGATGAGTGGTCCAGGCGAACTTTCCAGACCTACCGCTAACTTCATAAGGCTATTCATACCCTAGGTTCATTAAAAAAACTCGTAACGAGACAATTGTAGAGGAATGGATCAGCTTCTTTCGAAGAACATGATGATATGACAAAAGAATTCTGTAATAAGGTAATAGATTCTCTCGAAAGTAGGCAGAGTTTATGAAGGACATTTATCATGTCATTTGGCTTAGAATAGCGATGGTAAAGTATAGTAGAGCTTTTGTGGTGTCGCGTGTAATGCATGTTAGCATACGATGAAATTAGCGTGATAAAGTGAGCAGAGTGAGCACGCTGTTTGAAAATCATTAATATGCGCAGAAAAGTTGCTGTCTCTGACTCATGTTCAATCTTTTTCTTCAGTGGAGAGCATGTCACTTCGAAAAAAACAGTCTGCATTTCCCTCTGGCAGCCATGACTCAGGCTTCCTATCAAAATCTTCAACAGCATTCAGTCAGCGCTTCTGAACGTACATGCATGCTCCTCTTTCTTTTCATCAGCTAAAAACTGAGTGAGGAAATTCGTGAACGTGAACACGCAAGAACGTTGGCAACTGTAATGGCAGATTGCTCAGGCTGAACGTCTCTTGATCCGCCTTTCTAGTAGGAGCCTTCGAAATCTCAGGTCATTCCATCCAGCAGCCAGTAGAAACACAGTAATATCTCGAAAATGCGGATTTTGAGGTCCTAAGGAGTATGTATGTTCAGGATTTTAGTGATGTTTCTAGTGAGATGACCTTTTGTTCATATTTCGATAAGATTAGTACCAGTCGGTTCGGCTTGAGGACTGGACGATGTAGAGTATAAAATTATGACTGCATGAGAGATCCTCCTAAGAGAAATCCTCCAAAAGAACAGTCGAACTCGATGTTGTAATCGCTTTTTTTGGCTTCCCTTGGGAGAAATCGACATGATGATGCTTAAACACCGAGTGATACCATATTTTGCGGTCAGAACACAGAAATGGCTAA